GATGTAAACAAAAGGTTCGGGTGATTTTCACGCTAACGCCGCCGTCTCGACGTAAAACAGGAGCCCTCATTGGTCAATTCCCAATTAAATGCCTATGCCGAGCGGCAGAGCAGTCGTATCAAGGCAGAGTCACATTCAGGTTCAGACGTGTTACGTATGTCGTGTGCATCATTGCAATTTGATATTTCTTTGGACGTTTTCGTTTGTTATCTTATTAAGTTGTTGAGTTTGTCGTTGTTATTGTTATACGTTGTTATTGATTGTTATTGTTATCAACTGCTTGCGCAAAATACCCAGTAGTACAGATACTGCCGATGAAGTTGTAAACTCCTGTAGTCCACCTAGGAAACGCTCTAAAAAAAGACACCTGAGTGCAGAAATGAAAGAGGTCATTTTGAATATATATAAGATCGGGCGCGAGGAGAACGAGGCATCAACCATCAAAGAAATTGTTGTGAAGGTTTCTCACAAAGTTGGGGTGTGTCGCGCATGTGTTAAGACAATACAAAAAAATCACACCTTTTCTGAGCCAATGACCAGTAAACATCGCAAAAGTATTGTTAAATCATTGGATGAAGCTGATAAGCATGCGATTAGGAGGAAAGTGCATGAATTCTTCTTTAGGAATGAAATACCTACTATAGATAAAGTACTGCAGGAGGTAAATGGAGATACAACGTTGCCAAATTTCAAACGATCAACTTTCCATGCGTTACTGAAGCATTTAAATTTCAAATGGAAAAAACGGGGTCGTAATAGTTTACTACTGGATAGAGAAGAAATTGTGCTATGGAGGAGGGATTATTTAACAAAAATTTTGAAATATAGAAATCAAAACAGGAAGATTTATTACCTTGATGAAACGTGGGTAAACGCAGGACACACTACAAGTAAAGTATGGGTTGATGATTCTGTAACTTCATCCAGGAGGGTCTTTCTAGATGGACTGTCCACCGGATTAAAAAATCCAGCAAGTAAATACGAGTAATAGACAACAATCGGATGTTTTTCAAACCTTGGGAACAAGGTTCTAAACATTAATTTCCAGGGGGCAGATAAAACATATGACAAGTAACAAAACTTTTATAACTTTCGATAAAATGCGTGGATGTTTTATTTTCATTTTCATTTGTTAGAACTTTTTTAAGCCATGTTTTTATGTGTTTTCGATATTTCAATAATTTTTTAATATAATCTTAAAATATGTCGAATATTATAAACTTAAAAAAAGTTACTAAGTTTTATATTGTGTACCGTTCCTAATATTTCTAATCATTTTAATTCATACTTTAAGCTTTATAAAGTTATAATTTGTTAATATTAATATTTGCGCGTATTTCAGGTTTCTGATCATTCATTTTTTAAAGGTTTATAACTTTAAATTAAATTGTGAAGCGCTGAGTAATCATACGACGTTCAATATTCTTTCTTTCAATATGACTAAATAATCCCAATTATAGCAATCTGATACTCATGTCTCAATGTTTTTTCGCTGAATGTGATGAAAACATTTGAAAAAGGTTCGCTTATTGAAATAAATCTACACCAGTTAGTACTTCGATTTCCAGGTAAAGGGAAAAGGCTCATTATCTGCCATATTGCCAGTGAGGATGGATTTGTTGTTGACGGTCTGTGGTGCTTTGAGTCTAAGAAAACTGGAGATTACCACGAGGAAATGAATGGCGAATCGTTTGAACAGTGGTTTTCAAAAATTTTACCGAACTTAGAGGAAAACGCAGTAATTGTGTTGGATATTGCGCCTTATCATTCTCGAAGAATGGAGAAGGTCCCAACAACGGCTTCAAGGAAAGTTGATGTTCAAAATTGGCTCCGCTCGAAAAATATCAACTTTGAAGAAGCAATGCTGAAAGTACAATTATTAAGAATTGTCAAGGATCACAAGGCGGAATATCAAAAATACGCCATTGACGAAATGGCAGCAAGTCAAAATAAAACTGTGCTCCGTTTACCTCCATACCATTGCGAGCTCAATCCCATTGAGCTCATATGGGCATAGGTTAAAAATTATATAGCTAAGCACAATACAACTTTTAAATTTTGTGACCTCAAAGGACTTTTCAAAGAAGCACTAGAATTAATAACAGCGCAAAAATGGGAAAACTGTATTAAGCACGTGAAAGACAAAGTTGAAAAGAGAATGTGGGAACTGGACAATATTTTAGAGGAACAAGTCGAGCCATTCATTATTGACGTTGGTGCTTCAGGCAGTAGCGATGATGAAAGCTCATCAGGCTCATCTTTCCAATAAAAGATGTCGTTCATGAAATTCGGTAAGTTATAAGTAATTATAAAGCTACTGTACTTTTTAATTAATTATTGACATTTTTGAACCCATTTTGGCAAAACCTATTCAAGAATCTACTTTCTGACAATGTTCAACCATGCACATTTTTTTACGTTTTGAACGTTTTAATTTGGTTACATATTTACCTAGAAATCAAAAAATATACTCAATATTCTAAAAGCAATTTTAAGAGATATACGATTATTTTTAATTTAGGCTAATTTAAACGCCATTTTGAGATTATATTCGACTGTATTTCACCAAACATCAGGCGGCATCCGAAGCTGGAAATCGAAGCGAAAATTTTGAAACCCTTATGTATATTTACATCATTATATATTTCTTACCTCACCCTCACATGATCCTATATCCATCACCAATCGTATACACATCGAATTGTGCTAATTTACTACAAAGTTACGCAAAGCAGCATCTACTATCTAAAATATGTACTGCGTGACTCTTAATACGTCCCTGCCGAATGTTACAGCGTTCGATGATCACGTGGTCTTGTTTATGTCCGGTCTATCTCTTATCTGAATATACTGTAGACTAGAGTATCTTGATACGCGCTCGTTTTCAAATGCTATACGTTCCCATTACCTATTCAGTTGGCACAGACCTTTTTATCGATGAATTTGTACGGAGGCTTGCGATTTTGGATATACGTTTCAAGTTATGATATTCAAATAAGACGGCAAAAAAGTACCTGGGAGGAGCCGAAATTTTTGCAGATCTTATGAACCGAATGAAAAAGTAAACATCAAGTAGATTTGTTCTAATTGATACGATAAAGATAATGATTCAAATCATTATATCCTGCCATACAACGATTTCATTGACGTTCTAAAGTGGTTGAAAAATGTCGATTCATGTCTTCGATAGCTGGTATAAAGTGTAAGGAATAAGTTTGTAAAAGTCCTTCGCTTAAAATCGGTTGAACCCACTCTGCCCTTCTTATTTTGCGTTGTTTCGTTCTTCTGTATGATAAACAAACACAAATATATTCTTCCACATACATTCTCGTTGACTAAACACAATAGACTATCCCTCAATTACCCAGTCCCCCTATACGAAGTTTGTTCAAAAAGTATCGCGAATTTCATGTTCTTTCAAGAATTATTTATTTATCATTTTGCTCATATGGATGTTTCTGCTATCTACGTATACTACTGATGTTCACTCTTCACATAAATAGCTATATGTTTTTCAGATTATGTCCATAGGAATGCCATTCATTATATTTTGGTCTGGACATTCAAAACAGCCAATAGAACAGTGGGTATTCTTATAACGCAATTATTTAGCCAAAAACATAAGGACGTATGAAGTATTGAAAGACTGGTCTGGCAAATAGAACATATTCAACTTGAACGATGTTCATAGATACTGAACGTCCAATGCTATTTTTACTAACAAAAATATTCCTTTCAAGTTGAATATTCGTGTGGATTGAATTAATATGATGTAATTTCTGAAATCTTACCTCAAATTGTATATCTAATTCAGCCCCTAATATTATTATAACCCGCGTATGAAACCAAGTATATTAAAGAAGCGGTGTGGTTACCAAACCTTTTTTTCTCATAAACCACCTTAAAAATTTTGCTGGTTTTTTCTACTAGATTTCAAAAGAGCGACAGAGTGGTAAAAGTAAAAAGAAAAATACTTTCTTATACCCTATTGATTATAAAATAACATGCTTACAAACTTAGCAGGAACAAAGTTATAGATTAATAACGTAAATTCTTTCACAATACAAATAAATAGTGCAAAAATAGTACAATATATTAGATTGTTTGTGGGAGAGATGCACTTAGCAAATTATCAATATTTGACTTCAGTTCTCTAAAGAATAAACGGAAATCTCTACATTCTGGAATATTCAATCTAATAGATTTCTATCAACACTAAAATCTTTCTCTAATAGGTACGAGGAGGAAAACGCTATGAAAAATGTTCGCACAATTTCCCAGAACCCAGAATATCTTCGGGTATTTCTGACTGCTGCCAAAATCGTTGATACTCTTTTTAAATTTCTCCTTCAGCTCCTCATTATTACTAAGCCCGAGTAGCTCATCTTGTAATACCATATTTGCCACTTCGCTTTCATTAAATGGTGGAATTTCCATCGTCAAGAAATGGTGAACTGGTTCTTGAAGTCATTGTGCATGACATTGAATTTTCACCATATGTTTAGATATCCTCTCCAAGACATTCTGACTGTAACAAGTTTGGAAACTTGTACGGATTAGCGAATATACCAGTTTTTACGAGGGATAGTCGCTGGTCTTCTTGAAATAGTATCTGTCATCTTTATTCCTTACTAACGAACCGAGATAAATTTTCATGAACCTCAAGTTACATCTTGGGAACACCCATGCTTGTTTCACGTGAGCGAAGACCTCCTTTGAACCTCCCGTGGACCGCCGAGGATCCACCTGGACCACTTTTTGAGTAACTGTATAAAAGGATTTAACTTACCTGTTTTCAAAGTACATCATCAATATTTTGTTAAGGATTTTTTTGCGTTTTTACTAAGTTCTGGATCATCAATAAATCTTCTAATACGGTGAGTTCATTATTATTTGTTGAACATAAATTATTCGTTAGGATTCTGTGACTTCACTTTGAGCTGCACCGTCCATATAAAAGTAATGTATATAAAAAATCACAACAATGTGTTTGTCCACAGGACATGGAGCAACCCGAAGACTCAGAAGATGGCGGCGAAGACCATCCCATGGACCCCAACGCCCCATCGCCGGCAGTATTCAAATGTTCCGTATGCGACTTCACCACCAAATATCAAGCCACCTTGGCCAAGCACGAGAGCGAACAGCACTTCAAAACCAAGTTCTTCAGGTGCGGCAAATGCACATACGTCACGCATATCAAAGCACGGTACACCAAACACGTGAAGTATCATTCCATGCCTATGATCAAGTGCGACATGTGCGATTTTCGGACACCCTACAAATGGAACTTGGATAGACACTGCAAGAACCATAATGGGAATGGGGCATTCAGGTGAGTCGAATTTACATTTCTCTAACTGACCGAATGGTTTTGAGAAACAGTTTTCCCTGAAACTTGAACTCGATTTTGATGTCTGGTCTACTGGCCATGAAGCACGAAAACAAATTGTTTCAACATTTGAGTTCAAAATAAGCGTGAAATTCGAAAGGATATCGACACCTTACTGGGACGATTACCCAAAACTAAAATTGTAAACTTGTTCAAAGATCAATTTGTTAACCAAGCAATAAGAGACTTTGAAGAAAGTGTACCTTGCATCAGTTTGTCAGCAACTTTGAAATCTCATTTTAAATCAGAAAACAGAGACTGGTAGAAAACGCCCAAGGCAGAATTGGAATATCTAGTCGAAAGCTAGGTCGCCGTCGAAAACCGTGAAGAGGACTTTGAAGTAGAATTCACGACTCGACATGATTCGACTTGAAATCAAGTCAATTATTAGATATTAGCAATCTGATATCAAACCAAGTAGTTGTTACATCTGTTTATCAAGTAATTGAAAATTCAAGTTGTCCCGATACTACTTATACAGGGTGTCCCAATTTCGACCTACGTATCAAAGTTGTGATTTTTCAAATAGAATACCTCAAATTTTATGGCATATTTGAATAAACCAATTCAAAAGAAGGAAATTGATATAAGATACTATATGGTTTTGGTAATTAGCTATTGAGATATAAGGTGTTTTGTCTAAAAAAACCCCCACATCGGCAACCCCTCAATCCCCTATTTTGAAATCTGGAGTCCTGAATTTTGTATCAAAAAAAACTTACACACCCCAGCTTTTATCTTATTTGTTACTTTTTCGAATTTTAATCTTTGCTCATACAGGGTGGTCAAAAACGCAAATTGTAGTTTTTCTCAAAAAATTCAAATGCATCACGCTCTATATTTGTGCAAGTTTGGATTAAATTTTTTATAAGCTTTTTTATACTAGACACATAAGGGTTTTTACGGCTATTTTTTCGGTTATTAGTACGTCTTTTGGGGAACAGCTTAATTCCCTAAAATATCGCATCATCATTGGAAATAAATAAATTGGTGATTAGTTACAAACTGTCAAAATTAGCTTTGTGAGCATTATAATAAAGACGTGTTTGGAAATTAATTTTTTTAAAGAAGAAATGGTGAATATGGTGTTCGTTTTGGGCGAAGCATCTCGCATTTATAAGCAACGGTACCCTAATATGCGACATCCAAGGCCGGAAACATTTTTCACGGTACGGGAACGTTTTGAACCAAGTGAAGCAGTGGAATATAGTAAAAAGTATATAAATAATCTGAGGGTCACCAATGAGGCGAATCAATTGACGGTTCTATTAAAGTTACAGGAAAATCCCCATTTAAGTGCACGGCATTGGAGTAGAAACTGATATATACATATATAGGTGAAAAATTAAAGCTTCCGCCTTTTGTTGGGTACTTCGACAAAATTTAAGCAAAGAGGACTCTTTATACTTTTTTTAATTCTCTCTAGCTTTCAATGGACTTTGCCATCATCATCAGGAGAGTAGTATGTGAGGATGTTGCTAATTGTTCTTTACGCATAGGATGAGGGAAACGTCCAGTAACATGGTGAGAGCTGGATACATGGTACAATGGTCAAAATTATATAAAATATGACAAGACAAGTGAAAAACAGATTAAAAATTATTTAAAAAACACTTGTTTTGTCATATTTTATATAATTTTGACCATTGTACCATGTATCCAGCTCTCACCATGTTACTGGACGTTTCCCTCATCCTATACGTAAACAACAATTAGCAACATCCTCACATACTACTCTCCTGATGATGATGGCAAATTCCATTGAAAGCTAGAGAGAATTAAAAAAAGTATAAAGAGTCCTCTTTGCTTAAATTTTGTCGAAGTACCCAACAAAAGGAGGAAGCTTTAATTTTTCACCTAACTGGTCTAGACGACAATGACTACGTCTCAAGTTATATATATGTATATATATGCAGAACTTCTGTCCAAAGGATTATTCACAAGCATAGTTACCATCCATATCACCTATGCTTGCCTCAAGGCCTTCGTCCTCAGGATTTCGCAGCTCGAATGGAGTTGAGTAGAATAATGCTAAATAAAGTGAGTGAAGACACTACTTTCCTGGACAATGTTCTTTTTAGCGATGAGGCAACTTTTAACAGCATAGGTGTTGTCAACAGGCATAACATGCACTATTATGCGACGGAAAACCCTTACTGGGTTAGGCAAATAGATTTCCAAAATAAATGGAACTTGAATGTTTGGGTAGAAGTTATTGGCAGACAAGCTATCAGGATTTTGTTTTTCGACAACAGATTAACACGTACAGAATACTTGAATTTCTTAATCGAGCATTTGGCTCTGCTTTTGGAGAATGTTAACCTGCAAACTCGGATGCATATGTACTTCCAACATGACGGCGCACCTGCGCATTATCATGATCGTGTGCGTAACTATTTGGACACCTGGAGTAACAATCGTTGGATCGGTCGTGATGGGCCTATATCTTGGCCTCGTAGATCACCAGATATGACACCGATGGACTTCTTTCTATGGGGCTACGTTAAGCAAGAGACTTATAGATATCCACAATCTACCCCGGAAAATATGAAGGACAGGATTAACCATGCTTTTCTGAACATAAGGGAACACATGCTGAGGGATGTGCAACGGTCATTTATCCAACGCCTAAGGCTGTGTATTCAACATGGTGGAGACATTTTCGAGCAGCTTTTGTAGATTAGGTCTTGAGTAGTGATAGTTGTTTGTTTATGTCGTTGTTATAGTTGTTTTTCTCTATTATGCTTGAAGCTGATTTATACTGTTCTGATCGTTATTAGTTCTTACGTCAAATCTGTACTCTTAGTGGCAATATGGAACTAGCCCACTGTGTGTCTTTTGTTTCCATGGATGATGTGATTTGTCCTTAACTTCGGTGTGTTGTTCTATTAAAAGCTTAATAACTCAAAATCTAGTGATATTATATGAATCCAACCTTATACCAAAAAAAAAAAGTTTATGAAAAACTGAATCCAAACCTACGCAAATATACAGAGTGACGGTTTGAAATTTTTGAGAAAAAATACAATTCGAGTTTTTGACCACCCTGTATGAGCAAAACTGAAAATTCGAAAAAGTAACAAGTAAGATAAAAGCTGAGGTGTATAAGTTTTTTTTTTTGATACAAAACTCAGTGCTCTAAATTTCAAAATGGCGGATTGAGGGGTAGCGGAAGTGGACGGTTTTCCTGGACAAAACACCTTACATCTCAGTAGTTAATCACCAAAACCTCATAGTATGTTATATCAATCTTCTTCTTTTGATTTGTTTTATCGAAATATGCAATAAAATTTGAGGCATTCCATTTAAAAAATCACAACTCTGATATGTAGGTCAAAATTGGGACACCCTGTATAATTGCCAATATTTTAGAAATGTGCCCTCAAATGTAATGTATAACATCCCATAATTAGATTTTCCCAAAATGTATTTGTTTATGAGTAATATTCCTCCCACACATGGATGGGCCACCCTGTATATACTCAACGGAAAGGCAAAAGTAACTGAGAAAACAGTACATATTGAACATAATAATTTGTTTATCATATATCAAATAATAGAACGCTAAAACTGTAAACTCAAGTAGAAAGACCAAGCATTTCTTCATCAGCTGGTGCAAAGAAATGAAAAATTGTAAGTTACCTTTTGACTCGGTAACTATGAATTAAGACACATGAGGGTCCTAAAGAGTTTATCCTGGTGATAAAATTGAAAATAATAAAGTAACAACTGACCGGATTTTGAACCACACTCTCGTATCATGATTATTCTTAAGTTTTGAATGTTCTACAACATGTACCTATAGTAGCTAAAGATGTTATGGTGATTATATTTTGTTCTTGTAGAAAACCAATTGACCATTAGTATTAAGACTTTAATAAAATTCCGTGATTCCGTTGATCAAGCATGTTACATTTTTTCTCAAAACATGACGTTTTATGTTTGCTGTGGTCCGACCACAACCAGTACCGAACGTTTTAGACATATCGTTTTTGTTTCTTGAGTCAGACCGTATAGATACGCAACTACAAATAGCAGTAGATACAACTGATGTTATTAGTAAACCTCATTTTAAATGGAAAGGACCTGCGACAGATCTAATTTTCATAAATCAGATCCACGCACTGCTCATTTTTAACACATTTACAAAAATTCCACCATTACAGACCAATTGGCTTGGATCCAAACCGAGCATATTTCGGCGTATGGGCCTTTCATTCACCGTTCGACTTTGGAATTGGCAACACGACGACGTTTTTTTCCGCCATTACGATTCGGTAATTCGATTAATGAATGTGTTCAACAATATTGTTTCCTTGCCCTTGAATATTTTCTCGTGTGTGTGTATACATATTTATATAATGAATGCATGCATGCTTGTGCGCCGACTGCTTACGTTACGTAACGGTCGGAAATCGAGATCGCGATGACGAATTGATGATGGGACGCATATTTTTCTGGATTCTTACTTCCTACGATACTGGTGTGGAGAAACTGAAGTCACGTAAAATTACGAAAATGAGATATTGTGATTTTGGACGTTTCACTCATTCCTGTCAGTCTGTCTGTCGGTATGTCCACTAATCGTTGGCCAGGCTACAACTTGGAAAGTACCGCTGGGACTTATACATTAGCATGTCGTCTAGGGATACAGCAGATGAAACTGAGAATATTTCTCCCAATGCTTCCTTCAGCCATGCTTCCTCTTCAGTGATGTCTCCTTCCCGAAAACGTGACAAGAAGGGACATTTGGATATTCAGGCAAAAGGAATTGTGTCCTTAACGTTTATAAGAGCGAAATTTTAGAGCATCCTGAATTCATGATATTGAAAGACGTGTGGCGAACAAAACAGGCTTATATCCTAAGAAAATTTTCAATATTGTTAAAGAAGAACAAAAACAAAAAAATGTGTCCATCACACAAGAGGCTGCATTACACGAAG